GGCCGCGCTTTGCACGCATGCATACTTTGTGTGCACACGCGTGCCAAACATGCACTTTGCGCAGGTGCAAAGGTGTTCTAACTTGCCTCCTGCAAGCCTGCACGATGCTGGTCACTGCAGCAGCTGCTGTGCGGCACTATTCTGCACCACGCAAAGCAGCTGCGCTTTGAATTCTGGCCATAAAAGTGAGTATGGCACTCCGGGCAGGTGGGTGGGCCAAACACAGAGCAGTGAAGAAAACTGGTTCGGTCTCCACTGCTCATCACTGCTGCCGGCTCTCCAGAACCAGTCAAATACCACCACTGGTGTATTTAATAGTTATGAACTTTTTGTTGAGGATGTCACAATAAGATGGCAACATCTGAAGCATCAATTTGAATCACAAATGTGTTTTGATGGGTTTGGGTGCTGCAGGAGGTGCTTGTGGGCAAAAAGCTGTTTTATCTCTTTGTTTTAACTCTTTGATTGCCACATAATGTGTAGAAGTCCAACCAAATTTCACTTCTTTCTTTGTCAGTTGGGTGAAGAATTTGGCTTTGTGAGCAAACTCTTTCTTTCTTTTTTTCTTTTTGAAAATTTTATTTGGGTTTTCACAAAAAAAATACATATAAAACATCTTTTTTTGAAAATAGCACGGTCCTGGGTTACACTTCTTCATATAGACACAAATTCAATTTCATGCTCACTTTTATGTTCTATTCCATATCTTATTACTGTTTTACATTTTCTACATAGTTTTTCTCCTCTCTTAATTTTCTCAATTTTATTTTAATTATCTCATATCAATTCATCATTATATTTATACTTTTGTCTGTCCTGTTTCAATTTTATATTTTCTTTTCTCATTAAACAAATTTTCTCCCGTAGTTACTAATTGGAGTATGACACCTTTATATCTTTTAATTTTATCCATTCAACTCTTATTTAAGCTTCAATATATACCTTGAGGTTATAACATTCAATATAATACATAACTTCCAATCGAATTCTGTTTGGTACATTCTTAAAATACATACTATATTCTTAAAAGGTGATTATAAATATATGTAATTAAAACACTCATTCCATTCCAATTCAATCCTATCATTAATATTCATTAAAGTCTTAACATCTTTAACATTACTTTTCAATTAAATATCATACTTCCTTGGGAACACTTATAAGCTTTATGTAATTAACTTTTTCCCCCTATTTCTCTTCCCTTATATTTTATATATTAAATAATTAAAATGTTCCCATCCTTTCCTAATTCAATTCTCTCATTCATTTTATTTCATTTATTTATTAACAAACATTTCACTGGATTACAATAACTATTTTATCCATTTTAATCATACATTGTTTCATATTTTCTAAAATTATTTCTATTTCTAATATAACAATACTCTTATGTACCTTTGCAGAATCCCTTTTTCAATTAAATTTTCACCCATTATCTCTAAATATCTTGTTTCTGTCCTTTATAACTTATTTTCCTTTCCTTCTTCCTTCTCTTCTTCTCCCTCCCCTTTTTACCCCCTTGTCTCTCTAGTTCTAATTCTATCTTCTGTGTTCCTCTCTTCTGTTGCTTTCTAATATTATACTTATTTTTCAAGTTATAATTCCTTTTCTTGGTTGTTTTTTTCAAATCTTAAACTTTTCATTCTCTTTCCCCCCCTTTCCCTTTTTCCCCCCACATAAAATTACTTGTTCATTAAAGATGGCTTCTTCTTTGTCCCAGTCTTCTTGTTCTGCAGGCATTTCTTGTTGCTTCTCATAGTTCGAGATCTCCATTTCTAAGAATTGAAATACAAAGCCAAAAGAACCTCTCCCTTCTTGTGCATTTTCTTTGTACTTTTTAAGTTCCATTTTCAGTTCATCTAAAAGTAGTGCCATTTTAAAACACTTTTAAACAACCACGCAATTGATTTTAGTCATTCAAATGCAATAACCAAAAATCCAGAGATCACCAAATAATCCAAATACTCCCAAGCTGTTTCTTCATGCTTCTTTTTTCCACTTTCTCTTCCTGGGGTTTTACTATTTTGTAGCCAAGTTTCAGTTAAAATGTATCTTTTAGAAGTTGTGTTGAGGTTTTACTGTAAATTCCTTTTAATTCCAGGCAGTCTCCTCCCTTTTTTCCAGATCCTGCCCTTTTATTCTTTTTCTTCCCTTTTCTGCTTTTAAAAGGTTTTAAGTATCCAGAAATCTTTATTATCTCTTTGACATTTTATTTTCAGCTTAAATGCCTATTAATGTCAAAGTGGATTTTTCCCCCCAATTTCTTATTTAGATCTCTTAGCTGTCAGTATAGGGAAAAGAAGAGAAGAAAAAAAAACCAAATCCTTTCCCTTTTCTCTCTCCTTCACTACTTCAAAATCTTCTTTGGGAACAATGTTACTTTTTTTTAGTTTAAATTCCAGGATACCTTATTTGTTGCTTTTGCAGTTTAACCAGTCAACCAAAACTTTCTCTTCTTATCTTCCTCCTGCACATTCTTTTCCGGTTGAGTTTTTCTTTGAGGTGGCCATTTCTGACAACCGCTGCAACCGCCTTTGGGAAAGGGAGTAATGGCCAGCTGAGGAGGAGAGATGCGGGCTCTCCTCAACCCTGCTGGCAGTCTCCCCCCTCTTCACCACCTCTACAAGGTGGCTTAGCTGTGAAACCAGCCGGCTCGGGGCGCTCCAGCAGCAAGCATGGATCGAAACCGCGCACAATCGCGGTTTCAGTCTGTCCACGAAGAGGCTCAAACCGGAAGTCCTGAGCAAACACTTTCTGTGCAAGTTAGTGAAGCCCAATAAGCACTGGATGTCTTTGGTGCAAGGTTTTCAGTCTAGAAACAGGCATTTGGGGATCCATTCTATGCCTCCTATGGAAATGCAATATCCCAAAACGTCCAGCTACTGCAGATCAAAGGCCTATTTTTCTGGCTGGGCAAAGAGATGGTTGTCTCTTAGTCTACTAAGTATTTAATATACTAACTAAGAACTATCCCTATTCATCTGTGTGCTGAGCTTCATTCTCAGAGTAGATCCAAAGTGGGAACCATGATTTTATCAATTCATTTTGGTGCCCAGCTTGTCAGCTGTTTCTGTAGCTCTGGGATTGGATGCCATTGCTCAAGTTTTTCAGAGGTTGTGAAAATTTCTGGTGTTATAGAGTAGTTCAGATTAATGGCAAGCACATGAAATCAGGAGACAAGGCAGTTCAAATGAATACAGATTTATTGCATGCTAACACTGTCTACAAAAATCTGAACTATTAATGGTCAAAGTGAATTGGTGATAGATAAAAGTAAACAGAACTCAAGGTGGGCTGGACTAGTGACTAATGATGTTCTAGACCCCTCCTTTGGGTTCCCCTGGTCATATTCTACATGGATGAATCAATCAATCACTCAATCAATCAGGTTAGACTCAAATACATTACTTCTGGTGTAATTAATTTGTTCCAACATACCATGAAAATATCAGAAATTCTTAGGGATCCTTGGGTAACAGAGTTGGAAACGCCAAATGCCTGCTCAGGCAAGAACCCAATATCATTTCAGACAGATGATTGTCCAAACTGTTAAAAATCTTCCTGAAATCCTCCCTGATAGTTTTGGTGTATGTAAGCTTCATGTAATCTAATCATTAGAGAAATAAAATTGTTAACTGGATGATATGGAGTCATATTTCATGGAGAATGGAATTCTGATGAGCATTATTTAACTATATACAATTTCACGGGATGCAAGGCTTACGCTTTTATTATTCCCAAGAAAATGTCAGGCTGAAAAAAATTCTGCTTTTTCCCTTTATTTTTTATGTTTAATTAGTAGAATATTTGTGTGATTTGATTTTTGGTATCTTAAAAACATTTTCACTGTTCTAGTAATCTTTGACCTTCCATTCAAGATGTTGATTATTTTGTTACTCATTGCTTTAATTTCTTCCTGAAAAAAATGAGAAAGGAGACCCAAATGCAAGAATGCTTAATGACAATATTTATAAATATTTATTTGGGAAATGTCAACAAACTAATTGCACATTTTATCCCCACTAACATATACAGTATCTCGTAAAAGTGCAGTTTAAAGCTTTTAAAACTGCATTAAGACTTTTGGGACTCATTGAGTTTGAAATATACTGCTTCTGATACTGAAGACAATTGTTAGCCATCAAGAAGCCAATGCATGTGTGTAGGTGGCTCATTGATGATAAGATATGTGAAGTACATACTAATTCATGACTAAACCAGAAGTTCACTGCAATATATTTTCTAGAAAATATGTATGGTATTGTTATGATTTCTAGAGAATGGTTTCTATAGAACATAATATAATAGAGTTGGAAGGAGCCTTGGAGGTCTTTTAATCCAACCCATGGCAGGAGATCCTATCTTTCTGGAGAAATGGCTGTCTTGAAAATCTCCAATGATGGAGCACCTACAACTTCCAGAGGCAAATCATTTCACTGATTAATTGCCCCCATTGACAGGAAATTTCCCCTTAGCAATTGAATGGAGAATTGGTTTCTCCTATAATTTGATACTCTATAAAACATACACCGAATTGTTATTACTTCATATCAATCAACTAGACTCATGTAGGAAGAAAAAGTCCTTTCCAACATACTCTGAAACATACATTCAGCAGTGGAATAGTTTAGAAGTGCAAAAAGGCTAGTAGGCTTCTAATACTTCAGAATAGGACAAGATGAAATGTGGTGTTGGATTCCTCAAGTTTAAAACCAAACTTCTGAAGATTATAATAAAGCAGTGCTTCCCAAATCTAGATAAATGATCCAAAATTGAGTAAAAATATTTTTTATGACATACAAACCCGTTATCCAATCACAGGGATATTTAAATGACTTTCTGAGAAACAGTAAAAAGTACTTTTTATATGCCATTTTGGTAATGAAGAAAAATGCTTGGAAAGCAATACAAGAGATCTGGAAAACCTCTTGTTAAATTTGTTTCCAACATCTTATTAAAATCTCAGGTAAACAGATGGAAACATGATATTCTTACCTCTTTCAACATTCCTTTGTTGGCAAAATAGGAGTAATCAAGTTTTGGAACTTCTCCAGTGGACAAGCCTTTGAGCATCCTGGCAAAGTGAGCATATGGGGTTCAACAGCAGTGTTGTTCCGATAATACATCTCAATGGTATGACTTCTGAATATGAATCATCCCAAAGAGGAAGAAAGGCAAAAATATATGGTTTACAGTACAAATTCCTATTTTTATTTTCACACAATGAAAATAAATTGGTCTAAACAAGGATGTGGGGGCCAAACAGACAATATAGGACATATAAAATGAGAACCACGTTTCCATCTTCCAAATGGTTATGTTCTTGTAAATTGAATTCAGTGCCCTGTGAGAATATGACTATATTTACAGTATGCAAAATCTTACTCAGGTAATCATGGTTATTTAGCGTATCTATGAATTAATACTTGCCCATTGTCTTCTTCATATAGCTCAAAAATATGGGTAGCAGCATAAGGAGGTAATAACTGGTTGAAAACACCAAGTGCTATTTGGAGGGCAATTATTGTCATATCATGCTAAAATAGAAAGAAAAATGGTAAAATGGTAAAGTATTAAAATGTGCATAATATCTCAAACTACTTAACTCTAAAGCGGCAAATGTAGAGAAGTTCCCTATTTCAGCTATGACTTCAATGGGTACCCCGTTATTCCTCAGTCTCATTTCTGTGACACCATTGTCTCAGGTACAAACAGAACAAATATTTTGCAGCCTAGACAGTACTTTGTCACTTTGAGATGAGAAACACATAAATGGTTGAATAAACCCTAACATAAAAAAAGAAATAAAAAAACCTTTCCAAATAATCTTTCCAAATCAGTGCAGTTCATTTGTAATGTGAACATATACACAAATATATATATATGTATGGTATTCAGCTCGTTTTGGGTATTTTCTCATGTCATTAAAGTTGTGCTTTTAAAGTTGTAGCGACGTTTCAGTAGAATCTCATCTGTCATCATCAGGCTTCTGTTTTAAATTTGGCGCTAGCCTACTGATGTGTTAGAATGGTTTTTTCTTCATCCTGATTGGTTGGGAGTCTTGGTCTGTGTTTATTGGTCTTGGAGTTTGCTGTGTCCTGCTTGATTGGTGTTTCTAATATCTTCTGTCTGTTTTGTAACATTTTTTTTGTCTTGATTGGCTGGCAACATTGTCAAACGGCTGTGAAAGTCTGACTCACAGACGAACACAATACAGAAGCCTGATGATGGCAGATGAGATTCTGCCGAAACGTACCTACAACGTTAAAACCACAACTATAATGACGTGGGAAAATACCCGAACAAAGCTGAATACCATACATGTAAGTACCCGCGAAAA